ACGATTTGTGAGGAGAAACTTGACGCCTCTGATCTAATGGTGTGCCAACTGGAGCCAAATGAAGGCAACATAAAAAAATGAAAACAAAAAACCTGGATGAGAAATCTGAAGATTTGCCTATGCTGAGAGAAACTTCTACAGTCCACAACTTGGGTTGTGGCCTCCCCAGACAGCGTAGCTTTCAACTGTAAGATGGAATCACTTTAGGAGGTGAAATCTGTGTTTGATCCCAGGGCTGGAATGCGAGAACAGGATCCCTGGAGTATTTCATCCACCCTCTTACAATCACTTCTAGTGAAAAATGAAATGGAGGATTAATAATCATTGTTGATAGTACAAATCTTTAAAAAACATGAGGAACATTTGTACTCCATTTGAAAACCTAGGAGTTAAGGCAACCAAATCTGTTTTACCTCACTTCTTTCTGAGTATAGCATAAAACTGAAGCTCCATGTCTCTTCTTCCATGCACTTCCATGCACCACGAGAAGGAGCCCACCCCCTGCTACATACAGAGTAAATCCTGAAAAGCTGAATTTGCAGGTAAAACTCAATACTGAAAAATTGTTTCTAAGAAAGAGTTTCTCCTTTAGTGGTTTGACTTTGTGTTTATAAAAACAAGAAACAGTTGCAATGATGCTGGCTTATGAAACAACCCTAGACTCCTGAAAAAATGAAGAGGTATAGAGTTGCTGAAATTCATTTAATTACACTTTTGCAGCATAATGGGCTTAACATGAAGACAAGCCTTAGTCTGTTTTTAATGAAAATGTTACTAGTTTTTATGAATGCTTGCCTTTGGATGAATTTCCTTTATTGTTAAGTATAAATATTATACATAGGTAGTTAGCATGACCTATTTATGGTAGAATTGCATCACTTTTTCTGCTTTATCTGTGTCGAGTTTCTTCAGTACTCATCCTCAATTTACTTTATTTATGCTTAGCTCTTCTTATTTGCTTTGAGCTTTATAGGACATAGTGGCTGTGTTTCCTTCCTCAGGGCATTTTGAAAGATGACTTGTTTGGAGTGACTCGTGTGTTCTTTTTAAAGAAAACTTTCATTTGTGCCTGTTGAGGTCCTTGTTCCCAGATGGTTCAAATATAAAGCAGCATTTTTCTTGCTGTGCCACACTGTGATGGCTTAGTCACAATTAATATCTGTCAGGCAAACGAGACCCTGATTTGTTATTTCAGAAGTCCCTGCTGTAAGATTTGAGGGTGCAAAGTGGGTCAGCCATCAGTCAGACATTGCAGCAGACGGTCCAACTCAAACAGGAGTGACAGACAGTCATAAAGTTGCCATTTTAATGGGACAATACTGTGGAAAAAAACCACATTCTGAGCACGTTAAGTCTTGGGAAAAAAAGTGATGCTTTAAAAAGGAAGGGCAAAGACATCAGGAGTGTGTTCATACATATATAGGCGGCCAAGATTTGAATTCATACACGTTGCCAGGCTTTTCAGGCCTTCAAAGCAGAAATTATGTCAGGTAATGTATTTGAAAGTACCAAAAGTTAGAGCTTAGCCTAAGGATACAGAGGACCATTCACACTGGATAGTTAATATTCCTAAACTGGTAATCCATGCCATCCTGGATGTAGTCATGCCTGGGAGCATTAGGGACCAAAAGGTGGAGGAGACATGGGTGATCCCACTCTTCAACTCCCAGAACTTGCATCCCTTGGACACAGTGCTGACATGAATGATGTAAAGAGATTACAGCCCCCACTGTTTGGTATCACTGTGGGTATAGTGTGTTTAGAGGATAAATTCTGGTCTCCAGCATGTTGACATATTGTAGTACTGAAAATATGAAGGATTAGGGAATACCAGAGGGATTGTGTATTTTCATCCTGACTCATTAAGTAATTCTGAGTAAGTGTCCCCAAAGGTTTCCCCAGTGTTTCTCACAGCTTTATCAGTCCCATTCCATGTCTCCAAAAGGAGACAGGCAGACTCCCACTAATTTCTTTTGGAGCTGGATTGGTCCTGAAACATGTTGTATAGGGTATACACAGCTGTTTGCTTAGAAGCCCAAAAAATAGCTAAAAACAGTTGACAAAGTGCATGGATGGTCCTTAGCTGGAATTCTTTTTTTATACATTGTATTGATTTTATTTTTCGTGGTTCTAGCTGTCAGATTATAGATCAATGATCAACAAAAAAGTCATAAAAAATGGAGAAAAATACAGAATCACAGTCTCTAATTATGTCGCGTAACCTGCATGAAAGAAAAACAAGGAAAGTCTGCCCTTGGGATCAGTGAAACTATGACCACTTAACACTTCAGACTTCTAATTCACTTCACTGTGTCCATTTTTTAGGGTGATAAATTGGGGGGTTTTTTCCACTAACATAATTTATCAACTAGAAACCACTTTCATGCTTTCTGTTATCAATTTAGCGTGAAAACTGGAGGAGAGGACTTGAAAAATATCGCAGTGATTCCACACATTAACCAAGAAACGTATTTTTTTGCAGAACAAACTTATCAGCCAAAGGTAGTTCTACTCGAACTTCATGTGCTAAATCTGTTGTTGATACAGTTTATCTGTGTAGGGAATATAATGCTGGATTCTATTTTTTATCAATTCCACATTCCAGGAAAGCTGCGTCTTTGACAGACGACATAACAGCAGGACTTGTCCAGACGGTGGATGCAAAGCACAGAGCACTATCTCAGTAATACTCCTCAAATATCTATACTGTTTAAAAAGTTTGAGCCATTTTTCAAAGGCCATCAGAGGATGGGGGCTTTAAAGTTATTTTCACTTCCCAGAGTGTTTGGTAATTTGTTCTGAGACCTGTAAAAGCACCAAAGCACTTCTGGCAACTGAAAGAGATTGATTCTACGTGGCCTTCCAAAAATCGAATAAGAATCTGTGACCCAAAGTTAGTGCCTAGATAAATCTTATTAGCAAGATCAGTATCATCATCAGTATCAAAAACAAGCCCAGATATATGAAGGCCAGGCTGTATGGGGCTCTGAGCAGCCTGATCTGGTGGAAGGTGTCCCTGCCATAGCACGGGGGTTGGGACTGAGTGATCTTTAAGCTCCCTTCCACCCCAGGCCATTCTATGATTCTGTGATTTTATGATCTACTGCACCATCAGCAGAAAACACTGTTAGTATCCTTGTGGAGGTGAGGAGTGAGTGGGTCCACACCTTTCTCAAGCCCTGTTCAGACTACCCACAGACCATGTGATCACTGTGTACATCAATCACAAGTCTACCAGGTCTGTGTCTATCAGTATAATTTACAGCTATGTTCATGTAAACCTTTGCTACAGATACCCTGCAGATAGGAAAAGAGTGGCAAGCAATAGCCTTGTTTCCCTGTCGTTTTTATTTTTAGTTATCGTGACACAGATGAGTGAAATGCAGAGTTGAAACAAATATCTAAATATATTTTTGTCCATATATGAATATATCCTGGGGACCTTGGGCACAGAGTTATCTTCATCTCCCACAATGGCTCCCACAACAAATACAGTCTGTCAGCTTTTACACTGTACTCAACAGTGTCATGGAGAGAAATTTAATTACTATCATGTCCATTTCCTAGGTAGAAAAGTATCTTTAGAAAGCTGCATTCTTCTTTTACTTCAGAACCACTAAATGCATCCTAGTTACAAAGTAAACAAACAAAACCTTCAACTGTGCTACTGAATCAACTTCAGCAAATACACTTCAGACTAAAACTAACATGTTTTGTCTTTACTGGTATAACATGTAGCAGCCATGTGTTCATCAGAAACACTGGAGTAAAAAAATCAAATTAATTTTAGCAGCGTAAACAAGTCCTTAATGTCTTTCCCAAACTTATGAGGGCAATTCCCACGGGAGTTAGGGACTGAACACAGGTTAGTGAATTTAACCGCTGGACGCTCAGAATCCCAGAGTATGCTGAGTTGGAAGGGACTCACAAAGACCATTGAGTCCAGCTCCTGGTCGAGCACAGGACCATCCCCAAGAGTCACACCACGTGCCTGGGAGTATTGTCCAAACGCTTCTTGAACTGTGACAGGGTTGGTGCTGTGACTGCTTTCTGACTAGATGAGCACTGAGAAGAAATCCTGCAAAACTTCCTGGAACCATCAGCTTTCAGTTGACCTCAGCAGGACTTGCAGTCGGGAGCAGTTGGAATGCCACAAACACGATGCTGAAGCCTAGTTCTGATGAGACCGTGGATGTTTGTCACATTTTTATAAAACCGTATAAAAAGCCCGATTTTAAATTTATTGTCCATTATTCAGTTAGTTATGGTAGATTTTTAATTGCTGTTACAATAACATCTGGAGGCCTTCGTAAGGATCCACTGCCCCAAAAGCATGCAAGATGCAACTTTCCTGCCTTCTGGTGGATGAGACCCCGCAGACTTCATCATGCGAGGGGAGAGGAAGTGGGGACATGCTTCTGGCATCTGGGGCTGGCAGGCAACCAGGATACTCTGGAATTGTCCAATGGGCACATATCCAGTCGGGAGAAGGGCCATTAGCATGAGGCTGCAGCTGAAAATAAAATCTTCTCCTACTTTCACACACAACCCCAAGAGGTGGAACAGTTCAGCTGCAACATGACGTTCCTCCTGCTCCGTGACCTCAGTTAATCCAGCGGGCAGGTTCGCAGGGCAGGAGAGGGAACAGCAGTGTTTGGGAAGGACAGGAGGTTTGGGAGTGGTGGGAGCCTCATGCTTAGTGCCCAAGATCTGACAGCACTCACGTACAGCCATGAGGGAAGACGTTAGTCTCCCTCCAAAATCGGAATCCAACAGAATCCAACAGAAGAGATTTAACACACAGCTTAAGAAAACAAGGCAGGGGAGGGGAGAGGCTGACAGGAGAAGGGGGTATATTTATGTATGTGCTCCATTCACAGATATGCCCCCAGGCAGTCTATACCAGCAAACACAGCAGTAAGCTGTACTTGTAAATATATATATTTTTGCTTACTCAAACTGTAAACAGTGATGACAGCTGGGAGAAGAGCAGAGATGGGTAGGAGGGAGGAGAGGAGATTTTTATTTTATTTTTTTTAATTTATCATGAAGTAATACATTTGCCAATCTCAGAACTGGTGAAAAAGTGCACTGGCACCAAACCAAAAAACAGCTCCTGCGTGACACATGCTGACAATCAAGATTTGTTGGGTTTTTTTCACTGAATGATATAATTTCACAAAGCATTGGAATATTTTCATTTAAGGGCCAGATCCTCCCAGAGATGCAAACCACTAGTCAGTGACGTTAAACTGCAGGAAATATAACCTTCTAGGCAAAATTCAGATGCCTGTATTGTCAGACAAAATAGACTTCCAAGGCTTTTACATACTTGTCCCTCAGATCCTTTGGACAATATTGTAAGATCTTATGATTCCGCTGTAATGGCATTATCCTTCAGGTCAAGGATTGACTGCATTGACTTGCAGCAACCAGATGAGATTCTCACTTTGCAATAAATGCACCATACAACCCAGTCTTCCCAAATTCATGAAATGGTTTTGAATCAGAAAACTCTAATAAATTAAATTCAAACTGTGTGGAAGGAAAACCTGTTCACTTCAAACAATTAAACAACTTGTACTTCTAAATCTATTTTTTTTGTATATTTCTTTTAAAGTTCAAGTCAAACAAGCTGTTTTGATCTGTTGAATTGAACCCAAAATATTTTCAGATGGTCAAGTTGGAAACTTTTTGATATTGACTCATGTTTTTCCTTGGCAAATTCATGACTTTTAACTTTGACACTCTCTCAGCTTTTGGGATCACTCTTCTCCATAATAAATAGTACTTCAAATCCCAATTAGTTTCTTTGTACCTGAAACAAGTTCCAGTGATTTAAAGCATTTTTGACTCTTTGCAATTCATAAATTTAGCTTTAAGAAATGTCACTTACTTTGTTTGTTTGTTCTATGTTAAATGTTGTTTCTTTCTCTACATACAATTGTAGTCAATATAGGTTCCTACACTCTCTTCATCAGTAGAGTATGTGACTGCACTTTGATTTGGTGGGATTTTTAAAATTTTCTTCATTTTGAAAGAATGTTCCACTCTTCTTTACACTAAAAAAAGACTGTTCAGTGAAGTAAACTTTTTTTCTGAGCTTAGGCAGGCTGACAGAATCCTGCAGTCTACTCAGAAAAGTCAGCATTGTGGCAGACATTTCTCCTGAATGTGAATAGAGGATTTCTCATCCTTTCATGAAGGGCTTTGTCTTAAATATCCTATAGAAACAAATCAAGATAATGATAAAGAACAGAAATACCTGAGAAGGAATTCGTGCAGGTTCTGGTTATAACATAATTCAAGCTGAAACAAAAGTGATAAATCAAAGCACAGATTCAGTTCCAAGGATACTGAGTTCAAAACTGAGATCTTGACACAAACTTTGGCTTCTCAATCTTTATTTATGCCCCAGAGCCAATTTGTACTCAAATCAAAGACATGCACTATTCCTGAACACTACAGAAGTGGTGCATCACAAATGATGTTTGAGGGGATATCAGACTGCTGTTCTCTCAGAACCAGAAAAATTCCAAGTAGCTAAGATCCTAACACCAATTTCTTCTGTACTCCTCAACACCATCTCGACTTTGCAGGGCTCTAAGTGACTATAAACCAGTGTAAGAATTGGAGTAGAGGTGGAAACTTCAGTTGTTGCCTGCTAATTTGCTCAATTTTCTGCTTTCAAAGCCTGTCCTCCTTTGCTGAGTTAAAGTTTTCAGGAGCTTCTCTGGAGTAAGAGAAGCTGCCTAACAGCAGGGGAGCAGGGTCCTAGGTTTTGCAGCTCCTGTCCTTTCCTCTGGAAGCTGTTCTGCAGAGATGGCAGAGAGGAATGTTTCCTGATGTTGCTCAGGACTACTGGTAGAGTAGACACCAGGAGGAATTGAGGCTGCAGTAGAGAGAGTGAAATAACAGCTCTGTGCAACAGAGACCCAGAGGGTACAATGGTAAAGGGGTAAAACCCAGAAGTGATCTCCATGTCTTAGCTCTTCTCACCCAGTTTCCAGCAATTTCTGTAATATGTGAGGCTTATTTGGTGATAAATTCTTTGTGTCTGTTCCTCAGTTCCTCCTAATAAACTTTTAACTTGGTCATTGTTGAGAGAGGATCTTAAGGTGTTCGACTTTTTTAAAGGTCATGGAAACAGAAGGGCAGAGAGAAAAGGTGGGAGTGCTGTGTTAGTGCTCTCACTGAGACAAGTCCAGCCAAGAGAGCGAATCCTGGAGACACTGGTAGCAGACAATCCCTGCAGCGTAAGAATTTAAGAACATCCCAACTGCTGCAGGAGTTTCGGTTGCGGTTTGACTTTTTAGGAAACCAAAGAATCCAACCACAAGACGCTACGTTACAGCAAAACAATTTGGTACTACTCAAGGAAGTGTTCTGCTGCAGGAATCAGCAGGTCCAAACCCAGAAGCTTCTCTGGCCATTGCTTACTTTGGCTCATTCCAGTCCAATGCTGGCACACCATGGGCCTCCTGCAGGCCTTGGCAGGTCAGCTCGTCTCTTTGTCAGACAGATTTGCACCTGGAAAACAGGAATAATTGGAGAAGAGTTCAGTTTGATGGGAATATCATGAAAGTACACACTATGGAGATACCAAATCACAAGTTTTCTAAAGCTGAGGAGAACAGAAGGGGTTGTCTGGAGCCATGATTCCGCCTGTCGCCCCTGCCAACAAAGCTCTCTAATGGGACGACAGCACATGACAAGAAAAGGGATTTAACTACCAACAGAGCCATGCCCTTTCCCAAGAATAAACTGTACAACACAGGGCCTTTGCAGCAGCACATCTGTGTCCATGCTGTACAGGTAGACCTTGTCTGACAGCAATGTTCATTTTAAAACATGTGTAGGTCTGACCTGGGCCTACAGTGTGTTTGCTGGCTTGATTCCATCAGGAAACAGCCACCAGAGGCAAAATCATGTATAGATGGGGCTATTTTCCACCAGCAAAGCACACTGGAGAAGGGAAAATCCATTTTTGCCAGGAGGGATTTAGGGAGCCTTCTGCCCATATAGTTGTGTCAAAGGCAAGAAGAAAGAATTGTTAAGGTTGCAAAAGACCTAAGATCATTGAGTCCAACTGGTAACCCAGTTCTATTGTGTTCTCCACTAACCTGTGTCCTCAAGTGCCATATCCACATGTTTTTTGGACACTTCCAGGGATGGTGACTCCACTACTTTCCTGTACAATCTGTTCCAATGCTTTACAATCCTTTCCATGAAGAAATTTTTCCTAACAGTGCAGTCCCTGACTGATCCTGGTATAAAACAGTGTGGTTTTAATACAGGCTCAGTTAAAATTTGAACTGGTGCAACTTTTCTATGTGATCCATTCTAAAACAATTTGTTTGATCTTTTTTCCTACCAGTAGAACAAACACAAGCTAAACTGATAGCAAGCAGATTAACTCACTGAAAAGACACTTTGTCAGGGTTATAGTTTTGGATATTTGAAGAATGTGAATATTGGGAGAACAGAATCAGAAAGAGAGGGGGTCCTTCTTTTCTCGTGTGTGCTTGGTTTGCACAAGTTTCATTTTATCAGCTGCACTGGAGCTTCCTCCAGTCTAAACTAGTGTTAGAGAAAGAGGTGAGGCACAGGGAATAAGAGTGATAATTTTTGAATCAGTGAACTGAACAATCTGAACAATTCTTAGTGCATACATTTCTTACACAGAAGACTAATGAGAAAGCATAAAGAAAAAAAAAAGCTTGTGAAGATGCTAAATGCAATTTATTCCAAGAAATCAGATCAAAAGAAGCATTTGAGCAGGAAAAAATTTGCGTTGTATGGAAAGCATAAAAAAATACTTGAGAAGCCACTGTTAGCAAAACCAAATCCTCTTTGGCATCTACTCCAGAGAATAGTAACCAGGAAAAAAGAAGATAATAAGCTTCTGTCTTGCATTACTCTAAAAATTCACTTGAATGAAAGCAAGTAGTATAATAATGAACTGAGTCAGGAAGCACTGTTCAATTAGAGGTAGAGTTTAAGGGAGTTTATAATAGCAACACTTACCAAAGAACAACTTGGTTGGGCTTATTGTTATGGAAAGGGGGGGAAAAAAAGTTGTGGTGAGTTGAATGACGTTTATAACATAGGAGGGTCTGATCAAACTGGTCCAGATTAGTCCTCCACAGCAGTAAGACCTTAAAATTGGGTCAGGGGGAGGAAAGGAGAATTGTGTCTAAACTGTTTCATACAAAGGCTATGTGACATATGGAACACGTTACCCTAAAGGGTAACTAAAGCAAGGAGCATGAATGTTTTCAAGAAAGAAAATGACAGGGAACTCCATAAGGAAATTTCTAACCATGGAAGCTTCAAATACAATTCTTATTTATTTATGTATCTATTTAGGGGAGTCAGCCATTATCTGTGTTCTGAAGAGAAATAATGATAAACATTCTTCATTCTTCTTTTAACCTTTCTGTAGAGTTTAGTTTCTTCTGTTTTCATTTGGCTGCAATTTTGCCTTTCCAGAACACAAAGGACAGGAGCTAATAACATTTTAAAGGTTATTTTTTTTTAATGTTCAACATGTAATGTTTTAAAATCTTCTTTCTTTATATTCTCTTTTGCTTTCACTAGGAGTTCTATAAGACTTCTCCCATACAAAATGGGTATTTTACCTTTCTTTTTTCCTGTCTGGAAAAAAATTCATGTCCTGGAAATGTTCTCATGGTTTAGTCTGTCTTGAATTAGACACCAGAAGGCAATCACCAGAACAGGACATGGGGCAATAAGGTCACTTTGAAGCCTTCTCTTCTCCAGGCTGAACAATCCCAATTCTCTCAGCCTTTCCTCACAACAGAGCTGCCCCATCCCTCTGATCATCTTGATGGACTCCTCTGGACCCCTCCAAAACATCAATGTCCTTCCTGTCCTTCTGTTAATCCAGAACTTTTATTTCAAATCTCTAACCTAATATCTTATTTTAGTATTAAAATTTCTCTTCAGTTAGAGACAAATAAAGGACAATTCAGAGATCATATATTGTCTTTATTCTGTGCATAAAACTATTTTTCACTGCCAGGTTAGGAAGAATGCAGGAATATTACTATATGTTTTTGTGCAGTGATACTTGCATTTTAAGGAATTTCTTTCATTAGAATGCAGACAAACCAGTCCCCTTTCTTGCATTAATGTTATTTTTTTTTCCTTTCACATAGTTGTAGACCACGTGAACCAGCAAAACAGACCACTTCAAGCTTTACAGTGGAGGCTCAGCATTTTTCCCAAATTTAAGGAGAAGGAAAGAATTTGGAGAAATGTTGATCTTAGGTTTAACTTGATAGAGCATAGAAAAGAGAAAAAGAAAATACGTTGGGTTTACTACCATGTTCAGAATTTTCTATATGCTTTCTAAGTACTTTTGTCTGAGATCTGTCATGGAAGGTCTTCCAAACACAAAGTCACATTTTCTCCAGGTAAATCTGAAGTAGCACCACTCAAGTCTACAGAGTTATATTAAGTCTGTATGAACCACTTTTAATCAGAAGACACACCATTGTTTCTTAAATTCCTCCAGTTTGTTTGGAATCATGTTGATGGTGAGCATTAACACCGGACCCATTCCCTATTGGATTTCCTCAGAACAACTTACCAGGACTGATTTTAACTTAGTAGAAAAACGAGCCAGCTCGGACTCAATGCCAGATTATGACCTCAGTTACATGCAACTCAGTCCACAGTCGCCTGCTTTCTGCGTGACCAAGAGCAGAATTTGGCCTCGAGCTTTGATTTTTAAGAGTTGCATACACACAACTGTCTCCAAGCATAATACCATTTAATAGTTTAAAACGGGAATAAATGTTCCCAGTAACTTTCCTTAATTTCTATCAGTCCACAAATATGTGTCTTATCTTTTCTAGATAACTCTAGCAAATTATTTTGCTTGTAAATATGATTTCTGCACATGCACTCGAGTTCCACAGTCCAAATGGTCTGAAACCCCCAGGCTTCACCTGCCAGGTTCTATTCTGCTATCCATTCACCTATATCCTAATCAAAGCTATACTGAAAGTCTGAAATTACAAACGGTACCAGCCTTATGTGTGCTGACAAGAAAGAGGTCTTCATGACACGGTCAAGGAAGAAACTTCTGAGGATTGAGGTGTTTCCAACCTAGAGATGCTGGTTTAGGGTGAGATGATGGGAGCACAGGTCAGAAAAGAGGCATATGTGAGGGGTTTTGTTTTTTCCTGGGAGGGCACAGGAGATATTTCCTGAATATGTGTAAGCTTCCCATCAGAGCCAGCCACAGGAAAAGTTGCCTACCCTTGAAAAAGCCCTTTACTCCTGCATGTAGCTCAGCAAAGCTCTTTGCGTTCCCACTGTCAGAAAGGCCTGAGAACTTTCTCTCCCCTTTACATGCAGTTATCCCAAGATGTTGACTGACCTCTCACCTTGAGTAAAGAGTTTCCCCATATGTTTGCCTCCCCAAAGTTCCTAAGGATGTGATTGCTTTGTTTTGTTTGTGCAATGGGCTCCTTTCCATATTTTCTAGCAACAGACTGAGAGCAGGTTAGGAAGAGGTTGGTCTTTCACAGGTTTCAGGATACATGTTCTCTCGTTTTCCAGCACTGGTAGCATCCTGTCTCATTTTGACATGGGTCTTTACTTGGGAATCTATACTGAATGCACTTGCTGGGTTAAAGTCACCACAGGTTGCCAGTGCTGGCATTCAGACAGGAATATAAGAGAGAGGAAGGGAGGGAAAGAGGAAGGAGTGTCCCTCCCTCTCCCCCAGCTTTGCTCCCAGGACTGTTAAAGTTAATACAACTCTGCCTGCAGCAAGAGGAGCAGGGACTGCTCACCCAATACTCCCTGCTGAGAGGAAGTGGGTGGAGATGCTGAGATGACAGAAGTGCAGAGAGCCCAGGCTTCACCCCACTCCGCTTCCTTGCTAGCCAAAGGAGCTGGCTGGGAGCATGGGAGAGAAAGCTGCTCCATGAAGAAAAAAAAAATAAAAAAAAATAAGGATGAAGTAATTGACTTTTGTAGCAGAGCAAAGGGAGTGCATGTGGTGGTGGAGGGAAGATAGGGAGGAACTGTGACTGACTCACAATATATTCTGTGCTCTGCTCCTGGGGAGATGCAGCTGTGCATCTCCCCTCGTATAGGCTACACTGTAAAGTTACACCATCGTCCAAAGTAAGCATTCCTAATTCTCCTACTTCCTGAAGCACAACAGTCTTTGGCTCCTTTTTAATCAGGGATTTCTACTGTGCAAATTGAAGTCTAGGACCAGGCTTTTCCTAAGTGCAGAATTAAAAATCCCTCCCCTGATTGTTTTGTTGGTTCCTGGGGAAAACTACTGAACTGTTACAGCCGATTTACATTGGCCTGATCCTTTTCTAAAGCTCATTCCAAGTTATTCTTAATTCCTCAAGGCACCTGAGATCTTCTGCATGAGCCAGCCATGGACACCTTTGGCAATGTTTTCCACATCCTTTTTCCTCCCTTTGCTTGCTTCCCAGTCACTTTTGACTTTGCTAGAGTAAGGACTGTTTCCTTAC